AAAGACAGGGGAAAAGAACGCCTGGTACATTTGAGACGTTCTTTTCCCCTGTCTTTCTTCTTCGACTCCGTTTCCTTGCTTTTACCACAGTCTCGGCTTTTCTACATTATGATCAACATCCACTAGCTCTCCTGCGCACTCACAGTTTTTTTCTGAATCGCCTGCCTTTTTAAGGTGTCACATCTGATCAAGAAAGGATTCTCCCATGTTATCCCTACACGACTTGTCTAGGGAGGCTCTCACCAACGACGACACAATGCCTCGTTTGAATAATTTCGAGTGGGCAGACAAAAAAGGCAAAACGCCTTTCTTCGAGCGCGGCTGGTACTTTCAACATACGTGGTCCTAGTCGAAGTGCATGTTTAAATCCAAAACTACAGCTGTTTTTACCATATTTTGGTGGGTGAAGGGGAGGCCATGTGATTTAGAGGAAAAAAACATCTATCGTTATAATGATTATGTCGTCGCTACAGACATGAGTATATTTACATTGTAGCTCAAAGACAACACAAGAAGGAGACAGGGATAGGAAAGAACGCTAGTCACAGCTAGGTATTTACTGTATGTATCGTGAAAGAGGTAAAAGAAGTGGCAAACGTGTTAAAACTCAAAAAAAAGAAAATATTGTAGAAAAACCGATCTACACTAATGATCGTGAAAGAGGCGAACGAAATGACAAATGCGGTGAAACTCAGAAAAAAAAAGGACGAATAAGATGTTGGCATGCTTTTCTTTATCTGAGTTTCATCGAATTTGTTCCTTCGTTCGCCTCTTTCACGATCATTACTGTAGATTGCTTTTTCCACATTGTTTTCTTCTTTTTTTGAGTTTCATCACATTTGTCACTTCGTTTTCCTCTTTCACGAGACATACAGTAAATACCTAGTTGTGAGAAGCGTTCTTCCCTATCCCTGTCCCCTTCCTCCGTTGTTTTTGCTCTACATTCTAAATATGCAAAACCAACTAGGCCGACAGCTCATTTTGTGACATGAAGATGTGGCTCAAGCACCAAAAAATTATCCACGTAGCGGAAAACCTTGGGGTTCACTCCCGTGTCTAAGCCCTCGTATATTCCTTTGTCACATTCAGCTAAGAATACGTCAGACAACACTGGCGCGACTCGTGACCCGATGCATACCTCTTGCTTTTGGACAAACAAGTCAAAACAAGGATACAAAGGATCGAAGGACACAACGTTTGAGGATAAATACAAAGTTATCATTTCCATAAAGGACACCACGCTCACACCGCTAGAACTCCTGGAGAAAGTCTCGCCATTTTCTTCAACGCAACTCCTAACGGCGAGGAACAGTTGACCATGCGGCACTGAATAGGACAGATCTACAACGTAAGCTGAAAAACCTCCTCTATAGTTCTGAGTCCTACCAGAAAAAAGCTTAGAGATCACCTCTGTGTTCCGGACTAGCAAAAGGTCCCTAAGGAGAAGGATGGCTAGGTGCCTGATGAGGTATCCTCTCACTTTCCTTTTCCAAGAGTCTCTTTCGATCACGATGGCCTTAAACGGACATTCTACCTTGTGCGTTTTTGTGGTGAAAAACACGCTTAGCGTAACTTCTTGGCCTGTTTCACCTTTTTCGCTTGGCTGGTCAGTTCCACGCGTTCACACAATTCCTTGGTTGTCACTTTGATCTTGCGTGGGGACACTTTTTTCCCCCGCCTGAAATTGTTCCCGATGGCTGCCCTTGACTTGTCCCCGAAGAGACCTTCCGGAGCCACCTTTTCTGTCCGCCATGAGACGCTTGAGGTTGTGGCCCTCTAAGAAGAAAACCACGTGCCCAGTCTTGAATGGCTTCTGCTGTATTCCTGGCTTGCGTCCCAATGCATCCACTGCTTCTGCAATGCACCTATTTTTTTCCTCAGGTGGAGCTCTCTCTGCGAGGGAACGTGTGCAGCTCAAGAGTTAAAAATTAAAAAGAGAAAAGTGAGGCTTGCGCCAAGAAACACGCCGCGTAGTACATTGAATGCGCAGCGTCAGTTCTTCACGAAATACCTATGACTTGAAAGGAAGCGTATATAGGGCAAACAGGGAGGTGCATCAAAGATAGGGAACGCGAGCACACCCTATCTGTTAAAACTTCCCCATTAGGTATTCTAGCAATTTACTGTGATAGGTGTCCGTGCGCGCCTAATCTTGACAAAACAGAAATAGGTGGAAAACTAAAGAAACAAGACTGGACGAGGATAGCTGCGTAGGTGCATAGTCAGTGCACTCAGCTGAGAAAGAGTTTTTCATTTTGTGTCTGGAGCCTGAATTTGTGTACAAATAATAAATGTTTTTGAATAAACATTCAGTAGTAAGTTAGCGTTTGGTTGTGTCCCGTCTTCCTAGTGTCCTCGTTTTTACGCACTTCACAAGTTAAACATGTACCGACTAGCCCAACCATCCATTTTACTACAACGTTTTTGTTTGTTTTTAGTATGTGTTTTGAACGATTAAAGAAAAGCCACATTAGTTTGTTTTGTGCGGTCGCTCGTTCGTTTTTTTTTTCTCGCGATTTTTTGGTCCACGCGCGAAAGAAGCTGCAGAAGTGTTTTCTGGCTGACGTGGCGCAAATTTCCGTGCTCCACCGGACTTGTGTAAGAAATCTTGTGGTAAATCGCCTCTTGCATAGCACGTCGCAAAATTTTCGGCACGTTTAATCAACTTTTCATATGGAAAGACATTTACTGTGGCTGTGGCATACTAAAGTATTGTGGGCGAGCGCGGATTGCATGCGGGCATCTCCAAATGCCCCTCCGCCAGCCCAGGACTTCGTCCCATCTACGCCGAAGGCTCTTTCAGCAGGATCATGGTTGTCGCACTGCCATGCCTTGCACATTCAGTAAAGCTGGCGGCGCTTCGTGCTAAGCCGATGCTTGGTTCTTTCTTCGTCTCCACGTAACAGAGGCGCACGATTTTTTTTCGGGGGGTAGCAAGCGTCGATTTCGCTCATAGACAGCGGTGTCAAAGCGCGATCGTGGGATGTAGGAGTTTTGCGGCACTCTGGGGCTGCGAACAGGTTTGGCCATCTTCGCTGCCGCTCGTCGTCTCCTTTGTGTGGATGCTCTTGGCAGACGGACAAACCGCGGACGTGTCGTCACGTGATCAGTCTGTCCGGGGATTAGTCTGTGATGTGAATCGGCCATGAATGGGCACCAACAGGCCAACGTCCCATTTCAGTCTGTGCACTAAGGCTGTCATGCAATTAATTTTTTCGAGATGCTACCCATCTACATACAGGGACACAATCCAATCGTACGTAGCATTTAAGGGTATAAAGATGTCCCTTTTTTAAAGCTAGCGCCAAGGAATGAATGATTGTTGCCGCTCTATGTCCTTGGAACACCGTAGAACTCCAAGACCATTCTGGTTTCTAATTCACTTTCAGCGTCGCCGGATTATCTTGCTGAGTCTTTTTACGAGCGATCAGCTGAGTAAATGTTCTGAAGAATATCGTTATGCAGGGCCTACATGAAACCAAAATCAGGTATAGATGAGTAGTGATCGAGAATACATTACCGGATAATGTAATAAGACAGGCGAGCTGGTTAAAGTTACCCAAGATCCAAGACCCAAGACGGAGGCTATGAAGAGCAGGGAAAACACAAGACGTCTGAAGCATAGCTACTAAATTTTATTCAGGACACTTATTTTATGCCCGTTACCTCCACACCGCCCTCCATTTGCACCAATGCTTCACCACAGTTTACACAAGACTACAAGAAGGGGTCAAATTTTTCACGGGCCCAACAAAAAAACACATTTTCCATATACATGCGCCCACCTTTCCGCAAGTCTAGAACTAAGCAATGGCCAAAATCACTTCCCCCCAGTGACTGAAAAAAATATCACTTGCAGATTACAACTGCAAAAACGTTCTTGTTACACCATCGACTGCCATTAATGGCTGGTCTATACAGTTTCCAGCAAAGGCTCTCCTAATGGTTTCCTTGAGAACTCTTTTCATGCATTTGTTTCCTTTGAATAACACGCTGTACTATCCTACTCAGCCGCACAACTTCCACATTCTTCAAAATATAAAATTATTTCGTAGTTAGACAAATTATATTTTACTGCTTTCTTGTGTTCACTCAACCGATCATTGAAAATCCACTTGGTTTGCCTGCATACGAAACACCGCACGTCATCGGAATATCATAAACAACGTCTTCACAAATGTCGGCTGAAGCATTTATGTCATTCTTTTTTTCTGACAACCAATTTTTCTTTTCAAAGAGGGCGTCACGTTGACTACCCTAAAGTCAGTCGTGAAGAGCACTTTTATGCCGAACTACCCCGCGATACACATCAAGTTTAAGGATGCCCCATGAAAATACGGATCATACACTGCCCTGTCACTCTGTCTATTGCCTCTTTGCCATCCGACTGAACTTTAGTACCAGTCTCTTCACTGGCCCTTTCAACGTACAGTCACTGGAGCCCGTTTCCTTTAGCCAAAGCAATTGGTTATCCACTGAAACTGGTGCCTTATAAAAACAAATATTTTTGAGGGCACAATCCAGCAGAGAAATGACTATTCCTCTTTTGGCTAATTTAGAATGAAAACTCTTAAATGAGAACAAGGAATTTGCCGTCACTTGGCCGTACTCCCAACAGAGTCCTCCATGTTTGAGACGCCTTCTGTTTCTACCTTCTCTGTAGCTTCCGTCTTAGGTTTTAAAAATATATACCTTACCAGTTGTTTCATATACTTTCTGCTGAGGAATTCCTTCATCGCCTCACGTTGGGAGCGAAATGGGTCCTTGCGTTAATCGTATTCAGTGTTTTTTCTTCATCGTTCCTGTTTGCGACATGATACACTATAGGTCGATCAGTATTTGTTTTTCATTTTGTTTTCAATTCTAACAGAACATCGCTGATGGCACAAACAAACGCCTCACAATGTAAAAAGGCGAACTAAAGAATGGTAATTCGTATCAAATAAACACCAGTTTCAAAAACTGACGGTGTTTTTTTTCTGTTTTTTTTTAAATAACAGTTTAATGAAAACTGTCGTTTTGAATGCTGTAGTCCTCGCTCCCTAGACGACGATGAACCCGCCTGCGGCGCTGAACATTTTTTACCGGATGGAGCTGACTGTGGGCCTGGAAAGGTAAGTACCTAGTAAATATTTGTACTTCATTTCTTTTGAGTGATTAAGTGATTAAGGGACAAGCATAATCAGACTTGCAAAAACTGTTTTTTTTTTTTCAATCGCAAATTTAAGGAAGATGTTTCTTTTTTTTTTATTCACGTGCCCAAATTATGAGGCCTGTAAAACTATCGTATTGAGATGCAATAGTTTCGATATATATAAGAACAAAACTGCGTATTTTATCAACAATCAGCCAATTGTTCGCACTTACTATGTAAACCTAATGTAGTGTGTGGTCTTCGAAATAGTATTACTGAAGAAAATAAAATGTATAGCTTTCCATGTAATCATTTCTATGTTCGCATCGTCCGACGTTCCAGAGATCTGGTAGCTGCTTGAGGAAACCATACTTTTTGGGTAATGCCGATTGTTCAAGCAATAAGGCGAAATTTGAAACGCAATCTTGTTTTCTAGAGATGTTTTCCAAACGGAATGCAGAATTAGCAAGATCGCGCGTTGAAGTATTTTGTTTTTAATTTTTACCGTTCCACTCTAGACTTTTTTCTAGAAACACACACAAAAATCGCGCTTAGAATGGGCCAAGTTCACACGGTTCATGATTAAAACTTTGCTATGGTTTTGAAGTTTTGTTTTTAGTTTACTTTTATAAATTTTCTGAGTGTAATACACGTATATTTTAGTTAGTTCTGTTAACAATATTTTTACGCTTTTCTTGATAAATTTACACTTATTTAATAGGATTTGAAAACCAGATGGCTGCAGATATGTTTCAAAAGCACTACGAAACTGGTGAGCAGCAAGCACATCAATTTTAGTAGCGCTGTTTTTTGGCTCTAATGGCACCCAGCATTTCCTATTCCTGGACTTAAGGAGTTTCTAAAAAAATCGGTTGAACTGTTTTCCGCTTTAAGTAATCTTGGAGGAACTAGTGTGGCTCACTCAAAGTTTCAGGCAGTACCACTCAAGAACACACTTCTTTGTCAAGGTGTCGTTTGGAGAACAAAAACGGAATTTGAAGCATTAGTCTCTAGCAAAACTTGATGATGATGCAATCACGAGAATTGCAATTTTAAAGTAGTCCTTGAGGTTACCCTATGATAACGACAGGTAAATACGGTTCATTGACTGAACATGAGCGAAGCGCAGCCCAGGCATTCGATTTCGGCTATTAACAATAAGTGTCTTGACGAGCACTCAGATCGTGACTAGTGTGCAATCGCTTACACGGGGTAAATATCCGAACCTTAATTAGGAAATCCTGCAACTGCGTACTTGCCCGGCACGTTTTTATCCCCACGTTTGCACGTGATAGCAATTGGCAGTATATCAACACTCGTGTTTACATATTTGCTTCGGCAAGTGCTATTGGTTTGACGGACGAAGTAATGCGTGTTTCCGATATTTTTGACACAAAAAAAAAGTCGAACCGCTATTTTTTGAAAGTATAAAAGTGTTGGACCTCCTCTCTGAGGTGAAAAGAAGTATACGTCAATTACATCGTCAAAATTAATTTTTTTTAAGCTTCCAGTTACCACAGTGTTGGCTTTTGTGCCATTATGCAGTGGTTGCGATCACGGTGGAAGAAATATGTGTCAAAAAAAGGTCAGAAAGGGGGAACAAGTTCCACTCGGGTTTTGCATAACTCCCGGCATGTATACTACCGTCGGGTTGGGGTTCGTAAACTCCTTGCAGAGGCCGTCTTGTTCGTGGGTGCCGCCATGTTGTTTTTTGACGTAGATGATTTGGGTCAAGGTAGCACACGACTTCATTTGCTCAATTTAAAGGACTAGAAATCAAGGTGTTCGTGCCAAATGTTGTCCTTTCTTCTTGACTGTGCTGTGTTTTGCAGTTATGCTTAAACTAAATAGTTTATTTTTTATCGCCCATCGCAACCACGTCAAATTTTAACTTGGCAACCGTTACTCGAAAACGGTTTATGTAAACTCCCGTATAAAGCAGAGTAGCGCTTTGTTCGTTACAATTTATAGAGCATGCGAACAAGTTTAATACTGATCTTTTGAGAGTTGAAACTAGGACGTATAACAGTACCACAAAAGATAATTTCCCTTGCAAAAAATTAACCATTTTATACCCTACTGATACTGCCGAGGTTATCTTTGTAGTTATAAACATGAATAGTAGTCCTAGTCATGACTGCGGTAATCTCTTACTCGGACCAATAGAATTTGTAGTTGTTATTTTACTACCCTGCATAACGCATTTGTCCAACACTATTTTGCTGTTCCTTGATAAATTTCCCGAAAAATGCAGTTTCCTAAAGTATCTGCTACATTTAAACGTGGTGATTGAAACGACAATATTAGGTACTGCCCCATTTCTATTCTTTCAGTGTTTTCTAAACACAAAGGAAAATATTGTATTTTTTTGCTTTTTACTTCTTTTGAAAAACAGTCGTTTTTTTTACTGAAGCTCGATTTAGATTTTGAAGGCATAAATCGACAGAAACAGCTTTATTGGTACTGAAAGATGGTACTAAAATATTTGAGAGTAAGCTTTTAAAATTGAGAATAATTATATATTTCAGCGTAGCATTGGATTGAAAATAAAACATAAAACTATGTCTAGATAAATTACATGCTACGGTATTCGAGTTATTGCATAATCCCATATATCCTATTTAGAACACCGGTTCCAGTATCCTAATTAGCTACTACATATTCACTACGCAACGGCCTTTTTTTTTCTCAAGTACGTTAATTATATTTTAAACATTGAACCTTCGACTAAAATTATTATTTACTCTGATGACACAAGCATATTTCACTGATATTAGAAAGTTTGGGCTTGTTTTTAAAATGAATCATTTTCTAGTTAAATTTGAAAATAGAACAAATATTAGCTCACTGGTTATAAGCACGGCTGAAGCGAAGGCAGTTTTATTCCAGTATACAGGGTCTCGTGTTTCACTTCAAATTTAGCTTTGGGGTCCAGGACAATAATATATGTTCATAATATTAAAACTGTAAGAGTAATGGCTTTCCAACTAATGCCTTGGAGTGTTCATGTAAACTATGTTTGTCAGAAACGTTTTAGAGTCGTGGGAATAATGAATAAATACAGGCATCTACCTTCATTTAACATTAAAAAAATTCTTTACAATTTACTTTTTTATTCCACCTTCTGGTTTTCCTATTTTGTATGATGGACGACTACAAAAAGTAATCTAAACAACTTGCGCCTTTTACAAACAAAAAGGTGCCAGGACGATCGAAGACGGTACTCGGAATCACTATTCCCTTCCTTTTGTTAAAACAAAAAATAACGAATGTATGGGAGGTGCATTCAAATAAACTAATCTTGACTTACAAACAACCGGTAAAAGAAAACACTAAAATTACTACAGATATTGCAAAATCAGAAAGAAACCGGTAAGATCAATCGGGTCGCTGGCACCCTTGGCGCATTCTTATCCCAGAACTCTCTTGGGTTTTGAAGTAGTCAGACAAAAGCTACCTGTTTCGAATCCTGGTTAAAAGGACGAAAAAGACGAACACAAGGGAGATGTCAAACATGGGCGGTTTTAACCATGGTTCAGAACAATCACCACCAACTAGCCCAACAACAAGTACTTTTAAAGCTTATTGTTCTCCTAACACTCTTGGTTTTTCATGATTAATAAACTTCAGGTTTGTGCATAATTATACCCACATACACAAGTGTGTGTGTATATGTATACCTTGTTTTCAGTACAAATTATTGCTACTCAAAAAATGCCTGTTTATATGTTCTTGCCTGTAGGTAAGGTAGGTGCATATGTATATGTATATCAATTTTGAAAATCCACAGCTCTAGCCTTGAAGGGGGCGTTGAAACCTGTCAAGCAGAAAACACGCAGTTTTCTTTTTCAACGTCCTCGTCAGAAATATATAGTTTGTGGCTAAATAAAAGTGACTTTATTTTATTTTATTTTATTCATTTTAATATCTAAAGTTATGCAGGAAAATCGCTCTTCACGGGTGCAGGCGCCGTACTTCGACGAATGCGGTTGGGACTGTGAGCTTATTATTTCAGTTTTTCATTTTGGCGACTATATCGCACTTGATTATAAACTTACAGGAAATACCATCTGAGGATGGCGACCTTCAAGCTAAATGGAGAGATATTGTTTTATACTGAAAACGAGTGAACTATCTGGGTCATTGCGTCTCTAAAAAATGCATGGAGTCGGATCCTGAGAAAACAAAGTGCACCAACACTGGCCTCAACCTCAAAATCAGCGCGACGTTGAAAGCTTTCATGGCTGGTGCACCTACTTCCGGCAATTTGTGAAAGGTTCCGCCTGAATTGCCGAAGCGCTCTATGCTTTATAAAGACATACGGTGTTCGAATTAAGTATACACGCACATGGTGCTTTCCTTACATTCAAGAACGTCCTTAGGGCCCATCCAGTTTCTGGAGTTTCCGGACCAGACTGCAGGTTCGTCTCCGACACCAACGTGAGCAACGTCGGTTTGGGTGCTGTGTTGTCCCAGGTCCAGGTTGGCTCAGAAAACGTAATTGCTTATTATAGAAAAGTCCTAAGAAGTACGAAACAGAACTTCTGCGTTAAAAGAAGGGAACTCTTGGCAGTTGGAAAAGGCGCGTGACCCATCTCTACCATTACCCGTACGGCACGCAGTTCCTTCTAAGGGCTGTTCGTGCATCACTTACTTGGCTTTTAAACTTGAAGAACTCGGAAGGCAAGGTACCCAGATGGTTAGAGCGGCTGGCACGATACGAGTTCAGGATTGAGTATAGACCTGGTAAGGGATATTATAAACCCCTACTCACAATCGCGGTGACCTTGCCTGTCTGGCAACTGTCGCCCGTGCCTGAAGAGCGAGCAGCGCCATCCATTAGACTGCCAACCGTTGTCGTCTTCCCAAACGACTACGTTCTCTGCGTTGGTAGAACAGCAGCAAGGTGACCAATACCCTACCAACCGGACTACAGATGTCCTGCATGTGCTTCAAGAAAACGACAGCAATTCGCAACCT